TTAAACGGGGAAAAAAAAGATTTGAGATCACCATGGCTAAATGACGTTACCCCCGACCGCCATTGTACGCGCGCCTCTATCCAAAGGAGGAAGGGAATCATGAGAATATGCCGCCGCCGAAAAAAAGCAAAACAAAAGTCTGGTACCGAGCACCACATGCTGCATATCTTACAGCAGCTTGAATGAGATCTTGACAAGTGAGGCGGAAGGATGCGAACGCCGTCCTCTTCTTTCTCCCAGAAACCGTTTGCTCTCTCGCCTCTCGACATCGTACAGCTCTTCCTGCGCCTGCATGTGTATTCGTACCGCCGTTTGTAGAACCGAAGGGGGAAGGGAAAAAACGCCGAATGCTGTCCTGCGAAATGCAAAATGCCTCCTCTTCTTTTGCCACCGCCGCCGCCGCCACTGCCGCCGCCATTATAAGCGTGTCATGACTTCGGCCTGGATTCTAGTCGTCCTCCTGCTTGATCCTCACTTCCTGGTCCTGGTCCTGGTCCGGTGCCCGTGGACCCAACATCCAATCTTGCATGGCGAGCCACTCACTCCATTGGGTTTCCGCACTCTGGATTTCCTTTTCGGTGACATTAGATAAAGGTCGGAGGAAGGGAACTTGCTGCTCGCCGTCCATGTCGTAGTGCGACTTCACCTTGAGCCAAGTGTCGCTCTTGGCGGCAAACATGTAGTTGCGGCGCTCAGCTTCGTGCATTGGGCCGATGCCGCCGAGCCAATCGTCACCGAAGAAGCCGTATAAGACGGCGGGATAATCGAAACCGGTCACCACCAAGCGCCGAATGTACGGCGTCAGCGTTGCATGCGTAGAAGACGGCAATTGGGCGTTCATTGGCATCTTGCCGGCGGCTCGAGCCGTGGACGGGGTCGAGGGCCCGGGCCCGGCGGGGGAGTTGGGACCGGTGTGTTTGGAGGACAATACCGGGTTGTGGGCCTTTTGAAACGGGAGTTGAATGTTGACAAAGGCTGCCACAGCCTGAATGGGCCCGGTGTACTGGGCATGATCCAAGAAATAGCGGAGGCATGATTGGAACTTTGGATACCATTCAAAGATGTCGAATTGGGACTGTTGGAACGGCTGAAAAGGGGGCCCATTGAGCGGAGGAGCACCTTGGTGACCGGTGAAGGCATGGCCTACCTGTGCATACTCAAAGCCCGAGGCTGCGGATGAGCCGCTCGAGTGGTGGTATGCCATGAGTCCTCAACAGGAGGACGAAAGGCTGCTGCGGGAGCAGGTGCCTTATCCGGAATTAGCCCTCGTCGTCGGCGATGACGGCGAATTGGGTGCTGGCGGCCGCGTTCTGGCGGTATCAGACGCTGATAGAACCAGAGAGCGGCAGGCGGTAGCCGGAGAAAAGGGATGGCAACGACTGTTGCGCGACGGGAAGAGGGCGGAGAGGGCGAGTAAGAGAGCTTCAGATGGAAAGAACAACAGAGCAGCCGGACGATGCAACCTCGTACGTGATTGTGTCTAATAACACGGCGTCCGACGAGGTTGCAAGATTTGGTTGCGATGTTGTGTCTTCTGTGTCTTCTGTCTCAGGGTCGACTCGGAGGTTGGCAGAGAATTTGAAAGAAGGTCGGTCGGAGGCACAGATCTGACGCTGATCAGGCAAGGAAGACATGCGGGACGGGGAGGAGAGGGAGGAGCAGGACCACATGCGGAGCCAGACCTGCATGGAGATGGAGTCGGAGAAGCAATGACAGCACCCAACGGAATAAGGGTTCTCGGTCCAGGGCTTGTCAGAGCACGGGATATGACGAGCGAAAGAAACGTCGACGATGGAACATGGGACGGGACGCCGGCCGACTTTAATATACTCTGGACAGTGTGCAAGAAGTTTGCCTGTATCCGTACGAGGGGAGGGGTGGAGGGGAGGAGAGGAAAAAATTATGTACGGGTGAGTGAAATGGTCCCTTGTTTTTCTTTCCCTTGCCTTGCCTTTCTCTTTTTAAGGTGGTGCTTGAGGTTGAGGAAAATGGACGGGGCGCCCACCCCGTAGAATAAGGTACATGATAGGAAAGGAAGGGTAGCAGAGAGAGAAAGGGAAAAGGGACCAAAAAAAAAGTATGGCGACGAAGCGGAATGAGGTGGTCGGAGGGTAAGGTACATGCTAGGTGCAGCAGGGGCAGAGCCGAGGAGAGGGTACCTACATCAAAATGTGACATGGCTACCTACCGCAACTTGGGTCGAGATCGCGTCTGCACCCACGGCACACCAATCCGGTGAAGCAGGAGAGGAGGAGGAGGAGGAGCAAAAGGCACACACACACATACATACATACATACATGCATACAAGGGGGGAAAGAGGAGGGACGGGGCGGAAACAAGCAAAAGGCGGCGGTGGTCGTTGTGGTCGTTATGTGTGTTCGGTCCGGGCATGGCATGTACCTCTACCTGTTTGTCTACTTGCCCATCCACCGCCCACTCGGGCCTATGGGTATTATGGGTGCATGATCCGGGAGAATCTTGAGCGTGTAGATAGAAACGTGTGAGGTCAACTGCCTCAGGTAGGACGGAATGAAAATAGGTAGGCGGGATGACAGCCCAGAACAGGAGAAGAAGAAAGTACCTGCGAATTGGTAGTAAGGTAGGCACGGTAGCCCGGTAGTTAGGCAATCCGGTAGGTTTGGGGATAGGTAGCGCGTTGCCATCCCGTTGATAGCGTAGCTAGATAAGTGGGAATGGGGCTAGGAAGTCGAGTAGTGTGTGAGAGGCGTGTGATGTTGGTTGGCGCGGCGCAGGCGCAGGCGCAGGCACAAGCACCGGTATGGCTTCGTGTGGTGTTGGTGGTGGTTGTTGTCGCCGTGGTTGTGGTGTAGTTGCATCTGCATACATCTCACCTCCAGGAACCTCCAGGAACTTCCTTCATTGTGTGCGCAATGGAATGTTTCGCCAGGGAGGTGTGGGAGCACCGACCAGAAGACTGGATGAGGGAGGAGACGGAGAGGCGGGACGAGCCCGGAGGCGTTTGGGTAAGGTATTTGTGGGGTGATAGGCCCGTGTCGACCCTTTTCAGGGTCTGCTCTGCCCTTCAGCGCCTGCGTGAGCGTCTGCCTCTGCGTCTCCGTGACAGTGTGGAAATAGTGTTTGCGCCGGCTTGTCCGTCGTCCTCGCCGCCGTCGGAAGAGAAGGGTGGCACGGATGATGGCGAGTGGAGATGCTAGGTGGTATCCGTACATTGGTAAAGGCGGCTGGCGGAAGGAAATGGGGCCTTCCATCTCATTCTCGGCCACCAACCTAAATCTGTTCAAACTCATTAGTGGCAGAATGGAAGAATGAGAGACAAGACTTACGAAACATGACTGAACGAGAGATCATAGACAAGATGGCAGGGAATTCCGATCGAGGGGCGGGAAACCATCAATATCGACAAATGTCTTCCACAGTGGTCTCACACAATGAGTGTTCGCACTTGTGTCCGTAGAATAAGAAGCTGGAGAATGATCGCTGGGGCATCTTGGTAAAGTATTGCGAGGAAACGGGCACAGGTTTATCGAAATTGGGTAACTGTATCCGTACCCGTACAGTTCTCAACCCAAGCAACCCCGGGCGGAAATGATGGATCATGGTAACCCCAGCCATGGATATTACTGATTGTGCGGATACTCCGGACCGGAATTCCCATTATTTTGTTATGAATCCCATGCCGGATCTGCGATGATCTAGATAGTCAGTAACTGCAACTTTCCTCGAACAAAGAGACAACGCTTACTTGAACTTTGTCGTCGGCGATACGAAGACGCAGGAGGGTTGTGAGGAAGTAGACGCAGAGCAGGGGTGCCAAGGCTAAGCACTTCAGCCGGAGTTGAGGCCGGGAAAGACATCATTGGACGAAGCGTTGCATGAGGCGGTATGAGATGAAGGGCGGGATCCCTGGCGGTTGGCAGTAGGGCGCATCTGTTAGCTGAAGCCTAGGTAGCAGTAAAGACGCTTGGTCGAAAAGATGAGGAAGAAAACACTGGATGCATACCTGTTGCTAGCCTTCCCTTGATTTAGGTTAACCCAAGGTAGGTGACTTGGACAGGTCAGGTTTTTCCTCAGATATCTTAGATTGAGGTAATCGACGTCAGGAAGGGGCGTGAAATGAGAGAAGGTGCCGACTTTGTCCTCCTTTCTTACCTACCTACCTTGTGTGTCTGCCTACCGATACTACGTACCGTACCTAGTGAAGTGCGTACCTACCTTCGAGCAACATCTTCCCCATATTGGACCAGCAAGCCCGGGCCACCCATACAATCCTAGTACGTACCTCATCTAGCCCTAAGGTAAGGTAGGTACCTTACCTAGGTATACGTACCCATGAACCAGCTGCGCAAGGTTCCAGACGTCCACCTGCCTTCCATCCAACCTTGAAAATGACCAAACACATTCCAACTGCACACTTTGTCCCATACGCCATGGCAATTTCTGCCTCTCGCACGAACACGGGAGTCCCGTACCCGAAGCCAAAGTAGAGGGCTCGTTTGTCCGGAGAGACATCTATTGGCTCTCCCATCTCCGCTGTCCGATTGCCTGAGTCTTGACGTAGATGCAGGTTCAGATCTCAGGTACCGCGGAATCCCTGCCATCCTAGTGTTGGACGTCTGTGTCTTACACGACAGTGGAACAAGATCACGAACACACGGGAACCACACACCACCTCCATCCATGAACCAGCCCGGAATCTGAGCATTGAGATGAAGAGCGCGGCCGTCTGCCAGCTCAATCCCCTCACTCCCAACCGTGGCCTTCTCAACTTCTCTGCACTTCACCCCTAGCCCCTGCCTGCCACCTGGACGACTGCAAAGAAAAGGAAAGAAAAAGAAAAGAAGAAATCTGAAGAACAATCGAGACACGAGTCCACCAGTCAATCGTCGGTCATACGCATTTCCCCCACCCCTTTCTCGCCTCTTCCATCCGACTCCGATATCATGACTGGATCTTGCCTGGCTTGGCTACCACCTCGAGCAGGGTGGGCAATCCCCTTGTTGTCTCCGAGAGCCTGCCTATGCGCATTAGCGAGCTTGAAGCGCCAAACGATCTTTGGTCGTTTCCGCCTTGGAATCTATTAGCCCTCTCTCTTCTCATCAAAACCGTCTTCACCTCGGTCGAAAGGCTGCAATCACGCATCCAAGCATCCGAGCCTCGAGATAGCCGAAGGAATTTTCCTGGCGCACGGCGCAAGGTCCTTTCGCCGATTCGAGCCTTCTTCGTGTCCCACGCTCATTGTGTTTGCCATCCTCCGGCCAATCCAGTCTTATATTCGTCAACTATTTCGCTTCCTTTGTTATCCGTATTCTCTCGAGAGACTTGATTGTCGAGGGTGCGACAAGCCGACTAGACTCTGGGGGAAACACTACACGCCAGTGGTCGGCTAGTAAGACTAATCGATGGGCGCCGAAGAATAAGCAAGCAAACGGCCAGGCTAAGACGATGTCACTGGTGCAAGCCAACGAAGCCACCAGTCCTGGCTGCGTCTCACGCCAGGGCACTTTGGGGAACATCACCGCCGCAGGCGACTACTCAATGACGATGTCTTTCAGCTGCCCTTGCACCACTGAAAAAGTGACGAACGAAGCAGCCCATGGGAGCAGAGCCAGACCAATATCAGTTCACAACCATGGGCGCGGCATCAAAGCTCCGGTTAGCCGGCCCCATTGCTCAGCTGCCTAAGTATTTTAGCGGATCATGCAACAACCCGGATCAGGCGCGTCCGGTCGAGTCCGCTGAGGCATGCAAGACTCTCCTCCAAGCGCCCAACGAACCGCAGATTTCGTTGCATCTTCCGGTCGAGTGCAGGCGTGGGGAACGCATCTAAGCCAAGACCCATTACATAAGGCGTAACGGCTTGGGTACACCAAACCAGATACGTTCTTTCGACTCTCACGCGCCGACGTTTCGATGTTGTCAGTACGGAGTACACATATAGATATTCCTTCCATGTATCACCAATACACCAACTTGCGAGGTCTGCAGTTCCACATGGAGTCGCGTTTTCCATTTATTTTCGGGCCTTGTCCTACACAAAGGTTACTTACTCAAGCAATGGCCGCTATATCGACGGGTTGCATTCGCAAGTCATCGTGACCCCGCCGATCTAGCAGAATTCTCCCACAAGATCGTGTTGCACAACATGGCTTCTTGCTGTATCTCGGACCAGAAACGCGTACATCGGTCTCTTACGTCGACGAGAACATCAGTTTGGACTGCGGACGAAGCCGTGAGCGACAGACGTGCGTGGTGGCAGGGATTCAACCCCTGCTCCGGCCGAGAAGTGAATGAACGGGGCCAACCTGATTCTCGACCTCAAGCCGCTACCTAAATGTCTCTTGCTTGTATCCGTACAGTAGGTAACGCTGAGCCAAGGGCTCTTTGATCTGTCTGATTCGGTGCGTCCTCATGCTGCTATAGACATTCGGAACAGAAGCACAGAAGCTCATTGGATTAAGCAGGAAGCTGGACGAACTAGTGGCTCGGTCGACCGAGACATTGTCAACTTGTCTGTCTCTGAAAGATCATCCCCAAGTTGATCTCCCGTCTGGCCATCTGCCCGGTCCCAATATTCGATTCGTCTTCTCTGGCAGATCTGGTTCGACCGACTAGGGCTCGGAGCATCCCCTTGGCCTACCAACCAACGTATCCCCGAGCCAACCCATACTCCCCTACCACACGTCCTTGTTCCGTCTCGCAGTCAGAGTCCAGCTCCAAAATGTACACGCGCGCCCCAACGAGACCCGATTCCAAATACATTAGCCTCCCTCAACTCTAGTCATCCATCAAGTTTTTCCTAGAATGAGCAGGCTGTCATGCCACCCTCACCTCGGGACAGCCGCAGTTGCTCTTCGGACCACTCATCGAAAACGGTTAGGATTATGAGAGCCCTACATGCGTGCTACCAAATACCCTTGGGTTCGGCTATCGACGACGCGATATTAGCGATGCAAACTCCAAGGCGAGCCGAATTTGCTGCCTTCAGGTCCTAACACCTTGTCTTCAGAGTACCTAGTGGCCCTGTTGGCCTTAGCGATGGTTCCCGATTTAATTCTCCGACCCCAACTAGCAACGCTTGGTCATTCGTGGCCCATGCCTAGCAAAAGTTCGCCGGCATCAGCTCTCGCCCGTCATATGTGATACTGCCCGACTGGTAGGGGCGGCCAGTGCCACCTCTCCACGTCCTGCACCTTGACAAATATACCTAGATGGGTAGGTAGATGGATGTAAAGGACAGCCACCGCACCAGTCGTCTGAGACAACATACTCTTTGATATCCACCGATAAGCATGGCGCTACGAGTCAGAGCAGCTTAGCATCACGGGAACGATCTACAGGGGCATCAGACAGCCGCCTTGCAGATTCCACATTATGCTCTACCATGGCTCTGGTCCCTGTGCCCCTCGAAGAGCACCCGGCGTTGCGCCATCATTGTGGCATGTACTCCGTAGCGATTCCAAAGCTGCAAGGACCAGTGGGATTTGTCGTCATACAGTGGGCAGAACTTTGAAAAAGCATCTACGTCAAGATTCCGCTTTCGCCAAGAAGGATACTGATAGACGCCTCGATCGATGCGTCAATCTTGCTTTGGTCTGCTAAAGACGTCCCTCTAAGCTCTCGGCCCAGTACATCGGTTTGACTGCCATTCTCACTGCCAACCACCCATCCTACCACCATACCTGAACATCCAGCCTCTTGAGCAACCAGATACAATACATCTAGGTCGAGAACGCAGTTCTGGCAGACCCCCCGTCGAGCAAGAGACATGCAGCTAGCCGGCTGGATGTGCTCGGAATATGCAGTCGATGCCGCCAACCCTCATGTACGATCGGCCACCAGCCCTCACCGACTTCCCTTACTTAGTTGCCAACCCTGGCTATCAGCTAGCGGCCTTTTAGTGGTGCGACATGCAAAGCACAGAACGGCGGCGCCTATTGAGATCTCGGGGTCCCGGATCTGGCCACAGCATCGTTCCAGTCAGACGGTAGCTTTTCAGGGTCTGCATGTACTACATCATCAACTTTCATGTGGTGGGCAACAAAGATCAGCTCGAAGATGCGCAGCATGTGTGCTATGCTCTGTCGGAAGTAGCGGCCGATACCAAATGGTCCAGTGCATTCGATGCGGCTTGACATTCCGACATCCCCAATTCGCGAGAAGCCGAGTTCAAGGCCTCGCATAGCTTCTGATCGAATATGTACGGCATAGGTTCAGTGCTAAGGTCACGAATAGCACTCTTCTACCTCTGGCGTGCCGGCCAGGGATCCTGGTTGGCCTGTATATTGGTGAGTTGGCCACCATTCTTAGCCCCTGCTTGACGTCGGGATCTTGAGACGCTCCAACCCTGCACACTTCATCTCAACCTTGAGGCTCTGCGAACTACACGTCTCTGAATATTTGGACGACATTATCGACAAGCAGCTATTGCTTCCACTTGTCGCTGCGCCTTCGGGCCTAAGCGGAACTTCACACCATCAAGGACCGGCGCTTCAGGAACCATTAGCGTGATCAGACGCTTTCACCGTTCCCTCGAACAACGGTCTGTCAGCCGTGGTGTATGGTCAGACAGACAAAGCTGGAAGGAAACGGGACCGTTTACGCCAACCCCACTGAGATCCACGGCATAATCACAGACCAGTACCTTAATCACACGAACCATGACTTCAAGGTTAAGAGAGGCCCATCATTGTCTCCAAATGTACTTACAGCTATGCCAGCAACTTCTGTTGCCTGCGTCTAGCACATCCTCTGGAAATCCACGCACTCCTTCTGTAGCCCAGTAGTTGCCAAATTCCAGCCCTTGGCTCATTGTCTCGGGCTATACGGATCTTGCACGGACTAGGCACTCATCGCTACAGAATCGAAGTAGCTTTGGCCACAATTTACTTGTGTCCTGCGAGATGCTTCAACTATGTCACAGTGGTACGATTATACATTCATGGTTTCACAGAGGACCAGACGTTACCCCTGCAGGACTCGGTATGTTACAAATGGTCCATCATGTACGAGTGTCGCACAGCTGAGGGTCCAAAACGGGATGCAGTTCATTTCCGAGGGGTGATGAACTCTCTCGGAAGCTGGGAGTTGCTCGCGAGTTGAATTTGGAATGTTGGGCTATGTTGGATCCTAATTGACTTCATGTGTAGGCTGGAAGAAATTCAGCGATAACCATCGAGTTGCACGGGGTCACCGTGTCGACGACTTGCTGTCGTTCGCGGCTTCGCCTAGCCGAGCGGATGTAGGCAATGAACTCCGAATGGCACGAAAAGAAAGCTCACGGTGGAAATACGATAGGATTCAAGGCTATCCTCCTGCTCACTTGCAATCGGACCAGACCGGCAAAGGCACAGTAACGCTTGTGTAAGCTTCTGACCCGACACCGTCATTGTCTATCCAGCTGCGTGCCTTCACGCCGATCCATCTCGGTTCTTCATCAGACAGTCCTTTGACCCTGCAACTTTCGGAAACTTTTATTGCCATTTCGTGTGGTAGTTGAGAGGCTACGGCCGGTGGCGCGCCGCAAAAGCCGTCCATGGTGCTCATCATCGCCCCAATACCGATTCAGACGCTCTTCTTTAGAAACCGCCATCGAAGTTTCTGACAAATTTGTGTCCAATTCTATAGCTGATGTCACGCCGTTGCTTTATATACTGCGTCGTCTCGAATTGCCGCTGTGGCATTCGATGGCCTAGCAAGCTAGGGGTATCCATCGTCCGAGATGGCGTTGGTTACCGATGTCAAATTTGCCGATTTGGTATCTTTCCAGAACATCCGATGATCGACCGGATCATTCAAAGAAGAGACGTCCGCGACGTGGCCTGATCGGTCGTTCCTCGATGCTAACTCAGATCGACTTGCCAGCGAGGACTAGGTACAGTGAGATGGAGACGATCTTGAAGCCACTCCAAGCCATGACCAGTTCTTATCAATGAGCAAACAGGCCACAACGTAGTCCAGCGTTAGGACTCAAGCGCCTTCGATTTCATACCGTTGTCTCCGCTTCGCGGCTCAAGAATCAGCCGCTTCCCGCGTCACGAGAGAACGATCGTGGGAAGTTCTGAAAGTCACTGCCTCATATGGCCACATTTGATCTCTAGGAACCGTTTTCATTATGCCAATCGACAGCTCGACTTCTTGTCGGGTCGCCCGTCAGTTGTGAATCGCGACTCATTGCTACACGGTAAAATTGTCAAGCGTTGATACTCGTCAAGTGTTGGTTGGAACTGACTCTCTAAACTAAATAGCCGTAGCAAATCACCTCGGTTGTTTACCATTTTCACCGAAATGGAACGAAAAGAAAGCTGAAGTGAGATTTTGATATCAGACAACGAGCCTCTCGATTTTCTAAGCCACTCGGCGGTTCGATCATTTGGAGAATACCTAATGAGATATTGCGAAAGACCCTGCTGGTTTTCTTCTTGTTTCATATGCATTGTTTTGGAAAACGAGATGATGATCTACTCCGTATAAGCATACCATGCTAACTATGTTTTCTGATAGATCACATACACGTGAGCACCCGCGCTGGCTACATGAAGAGCAGAAATTCTCCACGCCAGCCACAAAAGCTCGGCTCGGCTTCAAGAATCAGTCGTTTCGTCTTCAAGATGAGAGCTTTTCAACACTTCTCATGGAGTCTCAGCTACTCTGCCTGATGCTGTCGCACAATCGAGCGTTCCATCGTTGTTGTCCGTTGCCGGCGGACCGGCAGAATGTAGCCGGGGCCAGGCGACGGTATGGATTAAAAGCACCTGGCGCGCAAAGGATGCCTAAATTGCGTTGTTTCTGGGCGCGTTCCGCGCAAAGACTCCGATTCCGCTGTGGATGCGAGCGACCCTTAGTTTAACAGCCAGGCGGGGCGCGACGGAACCCTTTTTCGACATTCAAGGCTGTCCGAGTCGTTGCCAACAGGGGCCTGTCAACCCGTCCGGGGTTTTCGGCAAAGATTACACGGGATCGTCAGTCAAGCTCGCTGCACGCATTTCAGCTGGCCGACATCTCATTGGGTGGTTTTGGCGAGTTGACCAGGAGCTGGACTGAGGTCTGCCTTCAGCTGCAAGCCACATTCTCCGGTTCGGGCTAAAGGCCATGATAGTCTTGTCTTGGGCACCGCTAGACTCCACCACACCGCTATCACGCCAAAAGCTCATCACCAAAGATGAGTTGTCGTGACATAGGGCGCAAAGCCTTGTTTGTTGCTTACTGTCCGTATCCGTAGGAGTCTATCAAGACTCAAGTGAGTTCCTCAGTCGCGAGTCGAAAGCGTACGAAGCTGCGCAGGAGACACGAATTGGATCAAGTGATCTCCATGTAAGTGAGCAAAAGAGGGGCAAAGGTACGTGAGATCTACCCCCTTGAGTCAACTCGACGAGATATGTAACTAGGTCTCAGAAAAGAAAAACGGCTTTGGAATGATCATCTGGCTGTCTGCCTTGCCAGGCTGGTCGAATAACGCTACCAACGCGCATCGGTCCATACCCGCACCTCACGAGGCGGAGTTTCCACATGGTCCAATCCCAACCAGCCTCTATACCCCGGGCCAAGATACGAACGGTCAAGTGCAGGAGACTTGGAGCTGGACCCTTGGTGTATCCCTCCTTTGAGCCTCATTGGCGTTGTTGGACGCCATGGTCTATTGGCTCACCCGCAGGGCGCGTTCTATTCGGTAACTTTTCATCTCAGCCCGAGCTGGGATTGCCCGGCTGGCTGTATCTGTCTCCCTTTTCTCCCGCATCCTTCTCTGGAGCCCTCGTCTCTCTTCTTATCCCTCCCTTCTCCCCCCTTTTTCTCGCACTTTTCCTCCACATTGTATTATTCTGTAAAGACACAGGAAACAGATCGTTATAGCTTCAACATGGGGAGATTCATTCAACTCGGAGCTCTTGCTTGCTTGTACCTGGGCGTGGAGTCCAAGGCGCTGAGATGGCAGGACGATACCCCAAGCTGGTCTCCACCCAGGCAGACCATTGCTGCGATGAACATGGAGGAGCTCGGCTTCAGTCCGAAGCCCACTGCGGCGCCTGAGCCCGGCAATGTCGACCTGAAGCTGGCCAAGCGTGTAAGAGGCGACGACACCTGTGGTTACATCTCTGGAGAAGCTAGTAAGTATACGATCTTTTGATGAACAGAGAATGGTGGTTTGTAAAGGATGCTGACCTCTGTCTAGCCAACTCCATCTACTGCGGTACTGGATCCTGTGTCATCAACAGCTTCTATTCTGTTGTTGGTTGCTGTAGCTCTTCCTCAGTCACAGACTGCACCACAATTGCTACGAGCTGTCTCCCATCAAGGTCGGCTAGTCGCGCCAGCAGTGGTGATACTCGTATGCAGCTCTGGTACGTTATACTGTCGCTCTTCTTTCCCTACGTGAACCATGTCTCATACGAATGCTTCTAGCACTGCCTCGGAAAGACCCGAGTGTGCCACTTACATCTACTCGGGCTCGCTCTTCAACCGTTATACCCTTTATGCATGCGCTGCCACCGAGGAAGTGATTGTTGTCTACGCAAACCCTACAGATTCTTCCGTCACCCAAGAGTCGACGACAGCACCGTCAACAACCTCCCTCCGCAACATTGCATCAACCACTGCTACGTCTGCAGCGACTACTAGCACGTCTAGCGGTGGTGGTGGCAGCGGCGGCGGCTCGTCCACTCCCGTTGGCGCTATCGTGGGCGGCGTCGTCGGAGGCGTAGCGGCTATCGCACTCATCGTATTCGGCATCATCTTCCTCCTCCGCAAGAAGAAGAAGGACACCAACAACGTCAACAACAACCAGGCCGCCCACCAGTCTTATGTCGGACCCCCGCCACCCAACCAGGGACAGCCGCAGATGTACCAGCAGCCTGGTCCCCCAGCGCAGCAGCCGTCGCCCCAAGGATACCCTCCTCAGCAACAGCAGGGACACTACCCGCAGGGCTTCACACCTGTGGACAACAACAATAACAGACAGAGCATGATGAAGCAGCACTACGACGTCACCACGGGATCCTACGACCAGAGCAACAACGGCGTCAGCCCGCCCGCCAGCCCGCCACCCATGAGCCCCTCGCCCACTTACCAGTCCGGTGTGCCGCAGTACGTGCCGTCTCAGAACAGCGTCAGCCCGACGCAGGGAACGTATCCTCCCCAGCAGCAGCAGCCGCCGCAACAGCAAGGGGGCTACTACAACGCACCACCTCCCGCTCAAGGACAGCCACCTGCACCACAGCAGCACCAGCACCAACATCCGGGCTTCGCGTCTGAGTTGCCTGCTCACAGGGGCGACAATGAGCTGCGTGAGTTGGCTTGAATGGCTGTCAGTGTGGACTGAGGCGGGCAAATGTGGAAAAGCGCAGTCGATGTTTTGGTTTAATGATGGATTTAATTTTCAAGTATGAATGCGGGGTGCTTGAATGGATACGAAGCTCACGCTCTCAAATGCTGTTGTGAACGTGTAGTCAGCAGTGGTGTTGAGCAGGATTCTTTGGAGGGAGGGGCAACTATCGTTATGTGTATATGTAATACCCAAAGTCTTTTACATGGCCTCAATGGGCGTATGAAACCCTCTCTAATGCAATTGAGATATATATAAACCATGAGATTGCCAAGAGATGTCGTGAGACATGTCAACTGCTTGTGCGCTGGGTTTCATAATCGTTAAACTGACTACAGCTTGCTGTGTAGATCACGGCGCCAGGGTGTATTTGGGTTATCATGTCGTCCCGGGATGAGGTGGTCCACGGCCAAGGTATTGAGGAAACCTGGGTGGACTTGGTTTAGGTCTGTGACACCGCACATTTTCATCGTCGTTTCCAGTTCGTCTCGCAGGACTACGAATAAGTCAGTATTCCGATTATACATCTCACAGCGTATGCATTCGCCCAGAAAGCTGCAACAAAATGGAATTCGAAAAAAGAAGGGGAAAAAAAAAAGTACTCACTCTCAATGTATCGCTCCACGCCCTCAGCACCATAATTAAGCCCATATAACAAACCCCTCCCAACACCCACGGCCTTGGCACCAAGACACAAGGCCTTGAAGATATCCGTCCCACGCGAGATGCCGCCGTCCACGTACACCTCGACCCTGTCAAACACGTGCGGGCAATTCTTCTGCAGCTCCAGCAGCACCATGATGGTCGCAGGGGAGGTATCGAGGCTCCGCCCGCCGTGGTTGGAGAGGACAATGGCCTCGACACCGGCCTCGACGGCCCGCTCGGCGTCCATCCACGTCTGCACGCCCTTGAGGACGATGGGGAGACCCGGGACGGTGCGGCGCAGCCAGGCAATGTCGGACCAGCTCACCGAGGCGTCGATGTATCTGCCCATGATGCGGCCGAGGGCGCCACCCTTGGCGTCGTTGACGGCGCGGGCGCCGGAGATGGGGGAGCCCAGGGACTCGTCGGAGGCCACGCGCTCGTCAGCCTCACGTTTTCCGGGGATCGGGGCGTCGATTGTGAGGAAGAGGGCTTTCACGCCCTGTGCCTGGGCGGAGCGCAGCAGGCGTTCCGAGTTGGCGCGGTTCTTGTCGACGTAGAGCTGGAAGAAGACGGGGACGTCGTAGGGAGTTGCGGGTTTGTGCTCGCGCTGGGCGGCGAGGATGTCCTCGAGCGGAAACGAGGCGGAGACGGAGACGCACTGCGGGACGCCGGCGGATTTGCAGGCGCGGCCGAGTTCCTTTTCGCCTTCGGGGTGGACGAGGCGGGCCATTGCGGTGGGCGGGCAGAAGATGGGGGCACGCATCGGGTGGGAGAGCATGGTTGTGGCGGTGGAGACGGCGGCGACGTCGACGAGGACGCGGGGGCGGAGGGTGATTTGGGAGTAGAGGGTCGCGTTGCGGGTTTTTGTGAAGAGGTCTGTTGCGGCGGAGGAGACGAAGGCCCAGGCTTTGGGGGAGAAGGAGGTGGAGGCTGCGGATTCGAAGTCGTGGGCGCTGATGAGGGTTGTGAGGGGAGGCTTTGAGGGCATGGTTGGTGGTGTTGGTGGTGTTTGGCTGTCTTGTTTTTGGGATGGATCTCGATGCTGCTGCTGCTGCTGCGGCCACTTGTGAGGTTGAGGTTTCGCCATGATGGCTCCCAGGGGTAGGACGCCCTTGTGGTGCGAGGTGGGAATGGTCGACTTGACCAGGTTGGGCCCGTGGACTTCAGAGTAGACTTCTGTGGCGTCTTTGCCTGCGCACTTGAGAATCACGGCGATGCCGCCCGGGTGTTCGCGAACAAAGTCTGTGAAGTCGTAGACGGCGCCGTCGATTGCGAGCCAGAGGTCGTCGAGGCGGTTGTGTTTTGATACCTCGGCCGGCGTCAGTGTAAGAGGGGGCATGTTCTTATCATAGGAGTATAGGTGAGATGGGTAGAAGAATGGCGTCAGAGAGAGGGATGATGTTGAGAGGTGAAGACTTGCATCACCGTCTTTGTATGTCGTCGCGGGCCGGGCGCCAAGGCGTAGTCTGACATGTCCCGGGACCGAAGGGGGTAGTCGATTTCGGGCGGTATTGCGCCGAGAGGATCCCTCGGGATGGTGGGGCTGCAGCGTGCCGTCCTCCCCGGTTTTCCCTTTTGATGCGACGCTGGCAATTGCCCTTGGATGATGGCCGCCCCCCCATGCAGGCGGGGGTGGATTGCACCCTCAGGGCCCGCGGGGAGATTCTCTCGCTCGCTAAAGATGCACGGATTTAGAGCTCATCATCACTGCAAATCACCGATGTCGCATTGGGTTGTCGGTTGTGGTGGTCCCGTGGTGGGAGAATTATTTTTATTTCTTTTCATGTGGAATTACCTCTCCAAAGCCTCTCCCTCATATGAAGCTAGATCAACATCACCCCGCCAAAGCCTTGCCGATAAGACTCAATGCCCTTTCGCTGTGATTCATCTTCAACGCCAGCGCGTGCCCCTCCTCGCTCATCTTGGCCCACGTCTTGCGCAGGATGCCAATAATCTTATCCTCGTCAACCTCCTCTTTGCTCTCGAAGTCGTCAAAATGATCGTCGAGGAAGACGAGGCATGCCACGTCTTCAAGCACCTGCGTCTCCTCGTCCTTGCTGAGGTTCTCCTTGCGGATAAGTGCCGCCACGCGGTCGACGTCCTCCTGGGGGATGGCGGGCTGGATGCCGGGCGATGAGGCGAGGAGCTCAGCCACCTGAGCGGCGGCTTGGGACTTGAGCTTCGCGCGCCAGGTGAGGTAGCCCGGACGGGTCATTGGGTATGTGTTGCGGGGGATTTCCCATCTACGGTTCGCAAATCAGGTGAGTCAGATAATGAGGCTTGTTAGGTAACTATGACTGGAAAGGGGTCTTATTCATCAACGTGATATGCTTGACATGCACATTGTGATGCTTATAATTGCTTGTTTTAAAAAAGGTAAGAAAGTATAATAAGAAAGGAATGCTTGATTGCGAAATGTTACCTCCTGAAATGTTGGGCTCGGCAGGCCAGTTGTAGGACCGGAGGGGCCGCCGGAGACCTGACGGCGAGCCAGCGCGTCATCTTCTGGGCATAGTGAAGCTCAAAAGGAACCGACTCAACGGACGATGGCCTGGGATCTTGCTTGTGGGCCTCGTCGATCAGCTCGAGGGCCTTGAGGTAATTGGGTGGCAGATCGGGCAGTGAAGACGACGCTGCCATTTTGGTGTGTGCGATGATTATGTGATAGTATGAGGTGGGATATGGTGGGTGTGTTCAACGGGAGGGTGTTGGGATGAGTGAGTTTGAACGGAGATCGCTGGTGAGGGAAGAGATGGGTTGCTGTTTCAGGCCTTGCGAGAACTTCTTGGCCAGTGAGAGAGAGAGCCGCTAGTCGCCCTTTCAGAGACCGAAATCAAAAATGCAACCACCGACGGCGGGTTCCATTCTGGACGATGAGTAAGCCCGGGGCATGATTGGCCATCGCTCACATATCGCCCGTCCCGGACCTGCATCAGAGGTCAGAGGCTCACCTCGTCCTCGTTGCCGTGGACCAATCCCCGGACCTTGTTGTTAACATCAACTTGATATTTCCCACACATCCTACTCCCCCACGCAACAGACCATGGCTCTACCAAACTTCCCACTCAATGTCACACTCACCGCGTCGCACAATTAACGCCTATTTTCAGCATATAGATCGACAGGACCCATAACCTGTCAATCCGTTGGCCCCACGCTTCCATGCTTCGGCAGATCGCCTGCCGCCCAGTCTCGCCTGTTCTAGACCGGAGGATACTTTGCGATCCAGGAAGGGGGAACTTGGAGAAGGGTCCCCGAACCGTGACGTTTCGTCCCTTCGTCCCACCATGGCCGATGCTGCATACGCACACTTCCCCAAGCTACTGCGTATGATTCATGCTCGTTGATTGGTCGGACCCATTCAACCGCTTAAGCTGAAGTTTGACACTTTGCCAGTCTGATGAAGCCATATTAATAGCTTTCAAGGAGGTCCTTCTGCCCCATCTTGGCCGTCAAAGCCAGCTTCAAGTTTTCATTTTCGGGTTCGTGCTCACCACAGCCACAAGCAGAATATTTCTCTTCTCTTCTTTTTCTCCAACATACCTAACAGAATTGATTCAATTGCCCACTTAATACTCGAGAGGGCAAAACTGTCTGTTTGGGAAAGGATGACGGAACGCTGCTCCTGCCTGCTTTGGTGAAATCGTAGCTTCCTGGTTGATTTCTACCACCTGTGACCTCTCGCTCCTGCCTCCTTTGCCAACTTCACCTACCTTACCTTACCTTATCAATCGACAAACTCGACCACACACCTCACCCTCTGTTCTTTCTTTCAGCTACCCACCAGATTTCTCACAAGGCACCACCTCGTGACAATCACAGCTTATACTTCTTCAGCCGGCAATCTCATTGATCATTCTATCAATAGAATCCTGCAACTACACTGCCGTTTTCAACAGCATTTACAAAGCCTGAACTCACCGACAACCTACTCATCAACATCACGATCAAGTCCATCAACAACACCTGATCGACCTCAAACTCAGATATCTCAAGCGCATCATCAAAGTCGTCTTCTGAAAGAAAAACCACCATTGTCACTCTGCGCGGATTGAACACTACGGATCGGACAATTGCAATATTTCGGAACGGAAGCAGCGACTTCATTTCTCAAAGCTTTGTGGTTTTCGGAATACTCACAGGCAGATCAAACTTCAAAAAGTGAGCTACAATTCCAGCGAACCTTCCCTTTCCAAATTATTTGCTAAAAAAAACATTCCAGATTCATCTCCTCAACACTCCACGAGCCAACATACCTATGCTTTCGCAATGACCAAAGCTAATCATCTGGCTGCCACAGTCGTTGACGATGGCACATCCTCCGTCACAGCAGTTACAGATGATGACGCCATGACCCTCGTCGACCTGTTCGGAGATCTTGACGTCGAGGAACTCACCGAGCCTGATAACAAAACCACATCTGGGGAGTCGACCAGCATTGTGAGTTCAGAGGCCAGCATAGACGTCGCTGATAGTGAGGTCGGCCTGAAGAATAAGCCAAACGAGAAGGGCAAGACCGCAGACACAGAAAGCCAGTCGGCCACAGAAGCAGAGACTTCCTCTGTAGTCACATCCGATGCAGCCAACTCAGAGGTGGCTGAGTCGTCAGCCTCTGGCGAGACAGCCTCAGAGGACAAGAGTACAACCGACAATGCATCCTCAAAGAGCGATGACGCCTCTACTGGTGCCCAATCATCAACCACGGGCGAGTGGACAGCCTCAGAGGATGCCCTCATCATCGGCATGAAGGAGGGTGGTGAGACCTGGGCTTCCATTGGGAACGCAATCAACAGAGGCAAGAACGAGGTCAAGAAGCGCTGGCACGTATTGAAGATCAACGTTGCCAATTCGGCCGAATCCACAGGCGAGGCTCAGACAGTGTCTGGAGAAGAGACCACCCAGGCCGAATCCCAGGCCGATACCGAGGCTGATGCCAAAACCGACGGGAGCCAAGATGAAGCAGAGAAGTCAGAAGATGACAAGTACAAATCCAAGGCAGAGAGAAAGGCGGAGCGCAAAGCCGAAAAGCAGAAGCAGAAGAACAAGGAGACCCCCAAGTCTGATGAAGAAGCGAAAGAGCTGCAAAAACCTTCCAAGGAGGTGAAGACCACTGGGGGCAAGAAACCCGAGTCCAAGCCCAAGGAGCCCAAACAGAGAGGCAAACCCGCCGAGCCCGCCCCGTCAGAGGACTCGTCAAAGCCTGCTACGTCCGACACCAACGATGAGACCCCGAGCTCATCCTACCGAGACCGCTTCAACCTCCTCCGCGCCAACTCCTCGGCCTCCGAGTCAACGTCATCCGCTACCAGCGCAGACGACAACGACGCCGATCCTCAAGCTCAATACAAACGCGAACTCGCCGGCCAGGAGCGCTACATCCGCCGCCACATCCACCCGGCGCTCTACCCTCCCGCGCCGGCAGCATCCCACAAGAGAAAGAGACCACTTCCCCCTCCCGCCAATAGACGTGCGCCCAGCCCGGCAGACAGACAGCAACGCCGAGACGACGCGACTCTCGCGGCCGTGGTGTCCAAGAGGGAGGCGACAAAGTGGCTCGAGATGCAGGCCAACTTTTACAATGCCACGGGCCGGATGGTGCCGCTTCACATGATCAAGTCGAGATGCGAGGCTGAGGAGGACCGAGGCAAGGCCGCCGGCGTGCGCAGTTGGGCCTCCTCGGTGGCCGGTAGCGAGGATTTGTTGGACCCCTACGAGGGTCGGGACACTCCTGAGGATGCTCTCGTCGATGATGACGAGGATTGATACACCCCGTTTTTTTCTCCTTTCTTACGCTTGTTTGCGAAATGCGATCCTCATGAGATACCTGGCTCGAGGAGGGTAACGACTGACGAATGATGATGACGATGAAGGTTACATCCTCACCTTTTTGCGTCTACGCGACTTTGATCGCAACTTTGATTTGGGACAGCTGGTTTAGACGGATGAAATGGGTTATCGGATATCGAAAATTGGGGTTGGGGATTCGGGATAACGGATAGATGGAGTGCTAATTTGCATTTTTGTGTTTTGGGTCGTCTCTGGGTAACAAGGTAGTTCCTCCGTATGAGGACTATGGATCCTTTTTCCATATCCAGCCAGCCATCCTTTGCTCTATTTCTTTCTTTCTGCTACTTCGTAGGGTTTGGGGAGAGAAGGATGAATATGAGAGAGAGAGAGAACCCTATTTCCATACTGATACTCACGATGAACTGCTTTTGCATCTCAATTTACTGGTAGTGAATGGTGTGGATTTGATCTCACAGCATTTCGGTTTGCAGAGAAATCCCCAAATTTTGAAGATTCTATAGAAAAAGGTGCAGACTACTACCACCACCAGCCACCGCAGAGGATGGGGGGGTATCAATGGGAATCAACCATTACAACAAAAAGCAGCCATCTTATACATGGTGCATGTCGAAAACTCCCACCGTATCAATTCGCCTCCCATTCTCGCCGTATCCAAGATATAAGTACAGGTAAGCAGCCCTTGGAAACTATCCAAGGGAGTCTGCTGTAATATGATGTGCCACCCAATGCGCCGTTTGAGATGCTGTGTGCGCTCAAAGTTTTCGAGAATGCCCCCCTTAGCCTGCTCGACTCCGCTGTAGCAGTAGTATTTTCGAGCTGAATCTTGTACATCGAAGAAGCCTGTGGAAGGGGAACCGTAGACGCATTGCATGAGAGGTCATCATGCCTGACCCGAGTGCAGCTTTCGCCGTCGGTCGGAGCAGGAGTCTATGGCCACCACCACCAAGCTGCGCCTCTCCAGAGAATATTGTGACCGGGGGTTGAGTAATATCGAGTACCTCCTAGCCAAGTCATAGAATAGCCACCATTGAGACATACCGTCTATTAGATAGGGTTCTCCATGCCGGGGGCCATTGTCGTTCCTGGAGGTGCAGCTGGACTAGGACTTGTTCCTCTAGTCAAAGTGTTATTGCTTGACCCGAGCCCCCGCTTCATCATCTTGCCCAGGACAGTAACCAGCTCACAAGCATCGGAAAACATGTCATCATCCATGCCCTCGGTCGCTTCATAGACCTCGGATATGGCATCCTTGGCCAGTTTTCGGCTCCCGTCAGCGTCGTGCACACACTCGTAAAGGAACGCGGCGTATTCGGTCTTGACGGAGAGTCGTAATGAATGCGACCCCCAGAGGTGTTGATCAGCCAGAGCAATCGCCTCCTTGAAGTACTTGTGCGCTTCGGGGAGGTAATCTCTCGGCGGCTCGAGGAAGGCGGCGGGTTGGTCGGAGCCGCTTCGAGGAGCGAAACCCGGCGGAGGGTTCACTGGACCGCCCTCGAGGGCATGTGTGGGCTGTATTGAGCCCTGCGATGAGTTCCAATCCTCCCTTGCGATTCCTTTGCCCTTGTCCGTCCTTGGTGGGGTCAATCCGGCCATTGTGTCTGGAGTTGCGATGCCCATAGTGGACACTGCAGGTTTGTTGTGAAACAGGACGAAAATGTGGTAGAACGATGCTCGTAGCTTGTACGCCAATACCCGGAGTTCTGTATGGTTTCCCACCATAGGAATCACATATTGCTGCAGCATCACTAGGCCCTCTCTTGAAAGCCAGATGATGTGAAAAATGAGGTCGAGAGACTGGGGCGCGCGGGCAGCATCGGGTCTGCGCTGTTTCT